ACAAATGATTTGGCAAATGAAAGCTAAAAAAGAGGGGAAGAACAACCAAATATGGATGCCTGGCAGACTATGACATGTTCACAGAAGAGTTAAACTACAAGAGTCCATCACGTTTTGGACTAGACAGTTCTACTTGAGGAGAATCATCTGGAAAAATGATAAAATTCTTTTAAAAATATTATTTCTGAGAAATATATGCCAGTCTATCAGATTAACTATTCATAGCCATTCTTACTCTAAAACAAATCCCGTTATGATACTATAGATGCATAATCTTGTTTAAAAATGCAATTCTCCTAGAGTTGGATTTTTAACTTTTTGTAGTTATCTATTGTACACCTATAACACCCAGCCTTGCATGAGAAAAAAGAAGGCAGCAAAAAATGCTTTGAGCTTACATTAATATTGTGCTTTCTTTTACAAAAATGAAAACAGATCAAAACCTCAAGGGATTGTAAATCAGTGACAGAACATATTTTTTACATTATTATTTTCTAAATCAAGATTTTATAAGGCAGTCAACTTGTTTATATCCAGTAAATCCATATTCAGCTTACTGTACCAAACCTATTGCTGTGGCATACTCTCACTATACATAACTCATCATAATAATCTATAGAACAGTATAACTCATTCATATTTTGCTAAGTCCTTTATCCAAGTGCTCTAAAAGTCTATCCAAGGGGAGACCAGAATATATGCTCTAGTTCTCTTTTTCTTTTAACTTAGTTTCTTAGATAACTCTTGATTGGGAAGGTACTAGGGGCAGTCCAAACCTCTTGCCACAAAAACAACTATGATTGTTAAGTATTTCTAATGAAAAAGCCTTCATCCAAAGAAACATCCCTCTAATTCCACTGAGGGTGCTTTGGGCAACTACAGCCTCTTTTGGCATATATAAGATATTTTAATTTGGAAAAGACCCTGATGCTGGGAAAGATTGAAGGCAAAAGGAGAAGAGGACGGCAGAGGATGAGATGGTTAGATAGCATCACTGAAACAATGAGCATGAAACTGAGCAAACTCAGGGAGGCAGTGAAGGACAGGAAGGGCTGGCGCAATAAGGTACATGGGGTCATGAAGAGTCGGACACGACTTAACGACTGAACAACAACAACAAAGATATTTTAAAGTTCCTAAGATTTTTGAAGTAGGTCTTTTTATTTATCTATGTACTTTATATAGCTGCCCATATTATGACAGTTACTGGGCAGTGCAGAGATAATTAAAACCAACAAAATGCAATATAATAATGATAATGATAATAATAAGTAACATATGCTCAGGCCTAAAAATTCAGTATTGATCCACACAAATCAAACAACAAATCCACTAACAGGCCTGGTAATATTGTCGCTATCAGCAGAGGCCATTCAAAGTGAAAAGTCTCACTGAGCCTAGAGTTTGCATTTACAGGTAATCCTCACTTAACAGCCATTTATTTAGTGACTGTTCAAAGATATGACAGAGCTGAAAAAAGTGGCATATCACCAGTCCTCACATTTATGACCGTCGCAGCATCCCCACAGTCACGTAATTGCAATTTGGGCACTTGGCAACCATTGCACATTTACAATGGTTGCAATGTCCCATGGTCATGTGATCACCGTTTGCAACCTTCCCAGCTGGCTTCCAACAAGCAAAGTCAATGGGGAAGCTGGCAGGAGGTCGCAAGTTGTGGTCACGTGATGTTTCGTTTAATAACCATGGGTGATTCTCTTAACAACCACAACCGGGACTGCTGGAACTGCCATCATAAGTTGGCACAGTCACATTATGTTTTGCTTAATGACCGTTTGACTTAGCGACAGAGTTGCCGATCCCAATTAGGGTAATTGAGAATTACTTGTATTTATTTTTCACCTGGGCAATGACAGATTGAAGATGAAGTTTACATTTACACAACTCTCTACCACTACTAATCCACAGAAAAAACTTCAGTTAAGTACATCAGCAATTAGCAAATGCCTTTTCTTTTTAGCATTATCTACTTCTAGTCATATGTTCATGCTTGACTTTCTCCTTTCTATATATTAATTCAGTCTCCATATAGTCTCTACAGAAGAGCACACACATGCTGTTTGAATACATGTTCATGTCTTTCTAAACTTGCAATCCAAGACAAACAGGAACCCCAACTCTTCAAAGTAGATTTCTCAGTCTTGGCCTCAGGCTGGAAATTGTACAACTGATTTCATGTGAAGGAGTGAAATTTCAAACATGATTCTGAAAAGCCATATGACAGCAGGAGATCTACTGTTCAAAGAAAATGCAAGCTTTGCAATTTCAAACTCTTTAGATTTTCTCTAGTTCATTGCCTCCAGGCCACAAACTATTTTCAGTGTTACTTTTTATTAATATTCTGGCTAGATATTTCTTCTGCAAAATGATCTGCATCATGTATTGTAATATTTACATATGTCCTTCATAAAGGGTAGCATTTAGCAGGCAAAAATGAAGAGTTCCATATACAGTTATTACTGCCAAGAAAACAAATGCCTGGTGACATTAATGAAAGGAACACTAAGTCTTATTAAGGAGAGGGTTTAGTTATTTTTCATTGATGTGGAATTATAAATCACATAGATGAAGAATAAGTAAAATATATCTGGGAAAGTACAGCCAATTTGTTAGTCTAGCGTTTGACTTTTTCTACAAAATAGATATAAACAAGAATCAGGGACAGTTTTCATTTTAAAGAGGAATTGGCAAATCCTTCCTTCCTTTTCAAATGATGAATAATGTCATTCAAAGTGGTGCTCAGGGAATGGTAAGTGTTAAATTGAAGAAGTAAGTTTCTTTTTATGTCTTTATAAATTATATGCACTCTTTTCCCACAACCTTTAAAGCATAGGCAGACAACCCTTTTCTGACTCAGGGCTACATTTTACAAATATATATTTCACCTTTGAAAAGTGGGGGGGGGCAGGGGGATGCTATTGTAAGACCATCAGAGGGTGTGGGGATAAAACGTTAAGCCTAGAAGAAGCAGGCTGGGGAGTAGTGGTTAATATAAAAGCAAAACAGGTGTTTTAAGCTTAGTGGACCCCTTTTTTTAATCAGAAAAAATGTATTGTTAACTATTGGCATTTGTCATCAAACTTCGTTGGTGTGATTGTTGTGGGCCCACAGGCTACGAACTGTTCACTCCTACCTTAAATAGAGAATGAGTATACCACTAACCTTCTTCCAAAGAGAAGCAATCAGGTCAGACAGTCTGAGTCTATTCTGTCAGGCAAGGTCCAAAGGAAGAATTGATGAATCTTTAAAATGATGCTGAGTTATCCCACTTATTAGATGCATTTGGATGCTGCACTAAATGGTGATGAAAATGAGTCCCAGCAAGCGATGGATTTATGCTGGATTTCTTCAAGCAAATTATAGATAACATTAACTCGTTTCTTTGTTTCAACAATGCAAGAAAGTTTCCAGCTCCTTAAAGCCACTAGGTTTGGGGCTAGGATGAGGGAAATTCAGATTCAGTCACTGAAGCTCACAGGGTGACTCACTCACTCATTCTAATCCCAACCCAACCCCCAGAATTCTTAAGAGAAAAAAATAGAGGAAAGAGGTGGTACTATGTATGCAATCTTGAGCTTCCAGAAGATGAGATGTAAATATAAATAAATAAATTTGCCTCATAGGAACTTCAAAAGAAAAATAATCTGTATATTTATTATCAAATAAAAATACATATGTGCTATTGTACTGGAATAAATACAACTTCCAATTTGGAGAATTCTTGAGGTTAATACATCTAGAGGGCATCAAGTTGGGAAGGCTGTTTTGAGGAAATGAAGTCAGGAAAAATTCTATATTGGAAGAGTTTAAAGTAGCAAGAGTTGAATATTGTATGGGGAGGAAAAGGGAAGGGGCATAATCCACAAATATTCAAGAATTATTTCCTATTATGAATGAGATTTGAACTACCTTTAGGTGAAGGGAGTTTAATGATGAAAGGTGAGAAGACATCCAGCAACTGAGATACTGAGGACAATAAAGTTTAAGGACAAGTATTAGAAATAAGAAAAAGAGACTGTGAGAAAATTAATGTTCAAAGAAGTCAGGATCTATGAAAAAATACCCCACTGAGCAATTTTTAATATAAACAGCACCTTTCAAAAAACATTAAATCTTGGAATATGATGTTGGTTACACATGCTGAAACACTTATGAGAACGTGACCCAAGATAATTTTGAAACAGTTGTTATTCTGGCATTCCTTGAAAAAAGATATTGTTTTGCACCCTTTTTATGTTTTGTTTGTCTGAAAGTTGAGTAACAATGTACAAATAACATACCAGACTTCTTGTCTAATCTCAGCAACATGGATTTGAGATATTCTTACATATTTGAACTCTTGATTCAACTGTTGAGCCTTTGGCTGAACTACTTGCATCTTAAACAAAGTGTGCAGTAATCCAATGCCACCAGAGGTGACAATAGTGGGAAGCTTCCATGTAACCACGTTTAGTCACTCAACTTTCCACGTTAATAGCACATCCAGAGAAGACCCAAAATCATGTACTCTTCAACATTACATTGACAAAAAAGGGATAAACTTGTATCACAAAAATGTTTAGCCCCATCATGCTCCATATCTAAACTCTCTTCATCAGCAGTTTAAATTTCTTTACACAATCTGTCTGCAGGTTTCTTAAGCAAGAAATAGCGGCCAGAAGGACTATAAAGAGTTTCCTTAAATAAGACCACAATAACAATGATTAAAGTTCAATATTAGAGCCAGCCATATTTATTTCAAATTTATCTCCTGTCTTTTTCTACATTGGCTACTAAAAAATAAGTTGGATACCACTGAGGCACCAGATCTGGCTCAGGCAGATTTTGGGTGAAAGCCAGTCTGTGACTTACAACAGACCCCCCCCCCTTTTGTCTTACCTATTAAACATTAAACAAAAACTAAACAGAAACAAAATCAGTAGAAAACGAAATAGCGCCTGGAATTTAAGGTAACAAATCTTCTTTCTTCTGTCATGCAGATTGAGAATTATATCCAAGATAATATGAAAAAAGAAATGGTTGAGATTCAGCAGAATGCAGTTCAGAACCAGACAGCAGTGATGATTGAAATAGGCACAAACCTATTAAATCAAACAGCAGAACAGACCCGCAAATTAACAGATGTTGAAGCACATGTAAGTAACAAGAGCACGACACTTTGCCTGCTACAGTAATATTTTTGCACTAGAAAAGCATTGAACCTGCAGTTTCATGAGAAACATTTGGCTAATAAAAACGAAAAACTCATCTTGAAAAATAAAACTGATGTATCTAAGAAGACTGCAATTAAATAATTATTTCAAAATGCATCTGTGAGGAAAAAGACCACCTCTCTTCTTGCTCTGAACTGTATGCATTCCAGCATTGGAAATATTAGATTGAGCATCTGCTGGATGCATGGATAAACCCTTCATGTTCCTCCTTTCCCTCTAATTCTACATACCTATATATAGAGAGATAATATACTGTATAACTAAACTCAACACAAATGTTCTTCTTTCTATAATCACTCATTCCCTTGTTCTCGTGTTATGGGCAGACAGCCCAAACTGGGTTTGTATGAACATACACTTGCTCTATTTGCCACTGAGGTGAAGAGAGGTATATAGACCTTGGCAAATCAGGGATTGTCTTTAATAGCTACAGTGTTAGCAGTGGCTGGATTACGAGCAAAGACAACCGGGAGTTAGCAAGAAGGACCGGACTTAATGTTAAGCAATGTCTTGGCATTGTACGTTATTGGAAAAGATTACTGTATTCCATTCTTACTCCAGTGCAGTTTTTAAGATTTTAACCCTGGAAAATATGTCTTTCTGTTTATAGAGCACTTTTGAAAATGTTTCTTGTAGGTTAGGTTTTATTCCCGTTTTTCTTAACATAGAAAGGAACAGAAACCAAAGAGGCATTGACTTGAACCCAGATCAAAACCCAGAATTCACATCTGCTACAGCCCATCAAGCAGTGCTCAAGCAGATCTTAGAGAGGCACAAATTATGTGCCCTTATGTAAGGCACAGTCTGTGAGGAAATTGGATAAGCATTAGTATTTCAATGGTTATGACTTAACGGAATGATAAATGAAAAGATTGAACTGAGTGGGAGAAAGGTTAGGGGACAACAGGAAGTGCCAAGGAAAAATAAATGGTCACATTTTTTCAAGTTGATGTCCAAGTCCCAAATCAATTGTGGTTCCTTAAGGTTCCCATACTCAAACTCTCTCTCTCTCTCTCTTTGTATCCCCTCATAATAGATCTCAGGTCAAATTTCATCCAAAACTGTGGTTATTATGGAATAACCACAAATGATTACATTTACAGAACAAACAATATAGAATTCTTGAAATAATAAATTCATTTAAAAACTTCTTACATACCTTACAATAAATGAAAAATGTTCACAAAGTATTTCCATGCAGTTTCAATTGTTTCTGAAGCGTTTATGTTGAAGAGTGAACCAAGCTGTTTTGTTTGCATATTTAAAACAGCAAAACTTAAATGCTTTGGAAAGTTTTTGTATAATTTACGAAGCTTAAAACAGAAATCATCCTAAACATGATGCATGATGCAAAAGAAAATGACAAAACACTATAATTTAAACTTCAGATTGTAGATTGAGGGGGGGGGTTCATATTTTTACAGGTCCTTTTTATAGACAACCCCCCCATCCCTTGTTACACAAGGGAGTGGGTAAAACTAAAAAAAAATATTACATTACACAAGTTATAACAATGGGCATACTAAAAACTCCTTTTGAACAATACAAGACAAAAAGTTTGGTTTATAGAACTGTGTATGTTTACTCCAAGTACAAAAATGTGCAAATTCAGAAACAGCAAGGAAAATGGAATGTTTGTCTGCTTGTGCTAACATGCATGTGAAATATGTTAACATATTAGTAATATACATTTATCTGTTTGAAGGATAAAGAACCAGTTTCTTCATGAAAACAGAAGATTCATATTACCAATCAACTTTGAACAGGATTTAATTAACACAGTACATTAGTTAACTAAACCAGGAGTCTTCAAACTTTTTCAGCCTGCAAAACCTGTTAGCTGAAAAATAAAATTCCCAGAACCCCAGATCAAAAGGCAAAGCTCTAGTGATAGAAAACTGGCTGCATTTGAGTGATTTTATTAGTTACTCCAATACCTTTCGGATATGACTAACTTCAAAGATAGTTCAGAAACTTCAATGAATAAAGACCAGTTTTTGAAATCTTTCATTAGTTGTCTGTTTTGTTCTGAGCACAGTGTAGGCTATTGATTCCTGCTAAAATGGCTTGGGCCCCAAATACCTTAAAATTTACTGCCTTCAGTATGTTGGCTTCAGAATAAGATCTTAAAAAATGAGCCTCCATATCAATCTGCTCTCTCTTATACTGCAGCCATTCTCAATGGACTTCTTGCAGAAGAAGCTTTTTCTCTTACAGGAGAGAGTTTCACCCCTTTATGTAATGCCCTCACTAGAGATGATTGCCTGATACTACAACAGCTATCAATTAAGTGCATCACATGATTTACTAACTTTCATGTAAGGCTTTAGTCTACGTTAAAAGTTTAGCCTATTGCTTCCTTGTATTTGTTTTATGCTGTACACCACCTTGAAATCTGATATCAGAACAGGCAACCATAAGAATCTTCAAAATAAATAAATAAATCTCAGCCAACAATTTGGAAATACACTTAAGTGTGAAATCATGTCCTGAATGGATTGTTCAACATGAAGGATGTGAGTAATAAATTCATCCTGCCAACTGAAGCCAAATCTTGATGAATTAAAACTTAAAAAAAAAAAAAACAGTGAGGAACACAATAATGACCTAAAGAACATGTAGCAGAATGGAACGGAAAGCAAGGCTCCACATGACAGCTCTGTTTCCTCATTCTTAAAAACAGATGTCATTCTTGAGACTTAAAGGGAATGTAAGAAACAGTTATTAAAGTAGCATCGTATGAAAACTGAAACCATGGTGTCATTTTGTCAGAAAGGAACATGGATACTCACCACATACACTCATAAAATTCTCTGTGATTACACAGGAAAAAACATTCCCAATATTTTTTTTTATAATAAAGATGAATGATTTGAATGATGAAGTATTTGATGGAGTAGATAGGTTGACTTTTAACCACTTATTCCCCACTGTTCCTTCTTTTTATCTCATTTAAAATACTTTAGTAAGAATTACTCTGCAGAAGAGACAAGTTTGACATCATCATCAGGATAGCACTGACCTTTTATTGATAGAACAGTGCAAGCACAGCTGAGTTCAGCTACAGCCTGGGCAAGTGCTTAGTCTCAATCCATAATTTGGAATTCATTTTAATCATACAAAGATGTGATGAAGATGGATATTGGCAATCACAGAAACAACTGGAAAGAGAGTACAGAATCATTCTGTTCTGTTCTGTTCCAGTCTAGTCTAGTCTAGTCTAGTCTAGTCTAGTCTATTATTACACAATCAACAGGCATGCAATACAATCATATTGTTCTGGTTGTTGCTTTTATATCCCACCTTTTCTCACCTTTCCATGTAAGGTACTTTATGGAAGGGTTTCCATTCATTTTGTCTCTAGTGAGGTAGGCTGGATTGAGAGAGAAAGACTGGCCCCAAATCACTCAGTGTGCTGTCTAGAGATTGGACCTCCATTCTGGGAACCACAAATAGGCAACTTGATGTCTTCTAGATGTTTGAGACTGCTACTCCCATAATCACTGATCATGGATGATGCTGACTGAAACTTATGGACATAATAGCTAAAAATATCTAAAGAGCATCAGGTTGCTTGACCTTGAAGTAGAGATGATTTGAGGCCCAGTATGTGCATTGGTACAGCCTCAATGACCTAAAATCAGTTAATATCAGAATTATCTTATTCTTGCCTCTATGGACATGAGACCCTTCCCAGAACAAACGTCATTACAGGTGGAACATAGGTTGACTGCATAAATTCCATGCAGTTTATGACTGTATAGCAATACACGTTTCAAAAAGTGTTTATTTTCTACTAATTCAGGTACATTGGATAATTATTTTTACAATATTGATAGTAATTTATTTCAAATGTTCAGATGTGATTCATATTTTTCCTTCTCCAAATGTAGGTATTAAATCAGACAATGCGACTGGAGCTTCAACTGCTGGCACATTCTATCTCAACTAACAAACTAGAAATACAGATTTCAGATCAGACCAATGAGATAGGTAAACTGCAAGAAAAAAACAGGTAACAGCTTTCTATCGAGTCATGCATGTTGAAATCAATTATCTTTTTTCCTATAGGGAAGCACATAGTTATAGTATCCTCTAACATACTTTCAAAAAGAAAATTAAACAAAAATACCAGTGTCTATAGCTCAATGAACAAAAATAGGCAAAAACTAAAATTGCTGATTAACACCAAAATACATTATTTGTATTCACTGAATTTGTGTAAGTGCCAAAACTTGAGGGACTTTTTCTTCATTACCAAGCAAACTATTCTATATACCATAGGGAAAACAATTCACATGTCCATAGGATTTTTCATGCTTGCTTAAACAGTATAACAGAAAGGATAAATGGATTTCAATTTATTTTACAATGTTTTTTCAGTTACTAAGGGAGATTTTTTTTTTAATTCTGTGAAATTAGCAGAGTGATTTGTTTCTTAGCT